AGTCTAAAATAACCAGGTCCGAATCGCATTCGCTGCAAATTCTGGTGAAATGTGTTTTATAGACGTAATACATATCAATCTTCACATATTTCATTACATCCAGTTTAATTAGAAATGAGTGATTCTGGTCCTATAGTTCAACATATAATTATGTTTATGAAACAACAATAGCTTTAAATTAATAGGGAATATAAATTACCAAAAATATAGTCCAGTATTCATTGAGTCTATGATAATAGGCGGCTGACCGTAAGCACATGATGTCGACGCACCCATACTTGACCAGGGATAACCTGTCATTCTCACACATCACTTCAAAAGTACTCAAATTCTTTGAGAGTGTTATGCAATTTCGTATCTCTCTATCATAGAATTTGTCCAAGATTGGATACAATTGTGGATAATTGTCAATTTGTGTGGTTATCTCTGATAGTGGTACCAGAATACGTTGAAATGTTCCTGAACTCCGGAACAGCTCTAAAAGTCTTATGCCCTCCATATCGGTGAATATGTTTGACGTGGGACTACCCATCACCACCAATGGTAGAGCTGACTCAATTGAATTGGTGTTTGAATCAATTGATTCAGTTTCTTCACCATTATTATCATCACTGCAATCATTCTCATTAATATTGTTTTCATCACAAGTATGATTACAATCGACTAATTCGTCAATAAATTCATTGTTATCTATTTGTTGAGACCCAATGCAATCATCATTAGACGAGTTATTATTGCAAATATCCTGTTCATCCAATTCTGTGTCTATATTCTCTTCCAATGCATTCATATTTTGTTTGTTTTTATTATTTCTCAAATATAATCTCTTTTTCCTATTTTCTTCGATCAATTGTCTGCGATATTGTTTCTCCTCGTCATTCAAAATACTTTCCTAATTATAAATAATTAATTAATTTATAATTGTATCCATTACTAAATCGCAAAATTTAATAATATTCAAATCACCTTTCTCATGCCGACGGCCAAACATTTATTTAGCCTACATTTCCGGCAATACTTTCTTGTCTCTCGATTAATAACACAATTCCCATTAGTTTTACATTTGAATGCCTAATATGTTTGTAAACAATTCATTATCCAAAAGTTAAACAAAATTACCAAGGTTTATACCTTATTCTTAAGAGCATTTCTACGAAAAAATGGTTTACATGACTTACAGGCTAAGGCCCCAAAATGTTTGCCTAGTAATTAGTATTGTGCCTAAATGTACTTGGATATTATTTAAAATAAAACAATAAACTTACCAATAGATATATCCCCGCAAACAGCACACACCTCAATATTGTCACCCATACTATTGACAATTTAAGAAATTATTAACAAGGTACAGCAAATATGTATTTCCTGTAAAGTATTAAACTAATGCAACACTATTTATAATAAATTATTCTACACTTATTTTGCACTTGTATTTATTGATAATATATCTGCACAGTGATTGATTATTTTGACCATATTTATACTTTATTCAGTTTATATTAAAACTTAGCGATTAATTTATATAACATAGATTACTAATAGTAAAGATATACTTAATATTGTCAAAATGTCTTCAAACTATTAATGAGCAGTTATACCAGTTTTATATCTAATACATTATTTATCTCATCAGATAAATGTATGTGTTTTATAACTTAAAATTTATTGCAATTCAAATGCCCATTACAATTATGCTATTTTAAATGCAAACTTTTATGATGTCTTTGTGTCTCTTTATTATGAGTTTATTATATAAATTTTATTATTTGTTTAAATTACATAGAAATTGTTTGCATATTGTATGATATAAAATATAATGTAAGCATAATTACAGAATTGCATGATTTGTTTAATCAAACTCAAAAACATAATGACTTATTAATTGATTTTAATAATTCAGTAGCTTACTTACAGTATTACAATGTTTTTAATGAAAACTTCAATAAACACTTATTTAAAATATAAATATAACACTTAAATATGTAATGCACATTTTTCTTTAGTAAATAATTTTGATTTCAAACATTTTTCTACATAGTGGTCCTAAAGTAATAATATCCAGATTATTGCAGGTATCCACGAATTCAACATAAGATATTTAGTGCATGTTGTTTACTAAATTTATGCATTAAATATCTTATGTTGAATTTGTGGATACCTGCACTGGCCTTTATACAGTACACTTTAATTTTGCGTTTCATACAAATTTGTATTTATTCTGTAAATAACGTTAAAGTGAATTCATATAAATATTCTGTTAATATCAACTAAAAAAATATATTATAATGTCAATAAGTGATCATAAATTTAAACAAAATTATTAACTTCGATATGACCCAAACCATTGACTTATATTAAAGCAAAAATGACATAATTGTTTTGGTATATAGTAAGTTATCTACATAAATATTGTAAAAAATTATAAAATTATATGAATTGTATAATCAAAATTATCAAAACTTAACCCCGTTATTCTTAACTTATAATTTATCCCGTTCAATCAAAATGTCTAAAAGCTTTGTGTACTAAAATATTCAAATGTGCTCAAAAGTGTCTTGTTAACTAATTATTAGTCATAAACATTTTTTGTTATAAATACCTAAATTATTCAATAATAAATTTTATCTAACAAAATTATATCAAACTATTATAATTCAAGCATTTCCATACAAAGTGGCCCAAAATTAATAATATGCCGTTCGTTGTAGGTCTCCATAAATTCAATTTGAGACATAATGTGCATATCGTTTAATATATTCATGAGTTTTATAAACTTTAATTTTGCCGCACTTTCCGTCTTATATTTATGCTGTAAATAGCGTTGAAGGGAATTCATATAAATATTCTGTTGAATTCTGTAATAAATATAGAATTTAATTAATTAATTAGTCTATAATGTAATCTAACATGTTAACTCACCTGACCACCTCGCTATTAATGAGATGTTTTTGATTTGGATTAAACAGTACTATAGCGGTTAACTATGGATTAATTAAATAGATTAATAATAATTTCAAATTGCAAATAATTTAAATATTAAATACCAGGTCCAGTACAATATAATCAGAATCCCATTCATCGAATATTCTTTTAAAATGTGTTTTATAAGCGTTATAAACAGTGCTTTTATTTTTAAACAGATCAATAATTAGCGCATATGACCTATTCGTTTCCTATAGAAAATATGTATATTGGTAAATGTAATGCAATATTATTTATGAAAAAGTTATATATTACCTCGATATATACATTCCATATATCGAGTGTTCCCGACCGGCAATAATAAGTGAGTGAACGGAGGCATAGGATCTCAAACCAGCCGTACTTTACGAGTGCTATCTTGTCGTTGTCGCACATACTGTCAAATGCACTCAAATTCTTGGACATAGCTATCAGTTTGAGGATATCCTTACTGTAGAACCAATCCATGATTGCATACCATTGCAACAAATCAGTCATTCGGACCACAGGTGTCAAAGAGTTAGCATATAAGTAGACTTTAGCTCCGTTTATAAGCTCTAAAAGTCTTATGTCGTCCCATTCGGGGAATAGCATGGGTCTGACCATCGGTACCACTGATTGTTGATCTGTATTTTCATTGTGTTTTACGTATATCTCTATATCTTTCATCTCATTTGTATCTATAATCTCTTCGTCACTGATATTATTGTCAAACAATTCGTTCAAAAAATAGTTATCTATATCTTCAGTATTATTGTTACTATCAAAATAATTGTATCGATTATTTTCATCAATACTTAACTCATTGCTATTCTGTTCGCATATTTCTACCATAAATTCATTAATATTTATATAATTTTCTGAATTTTCTGAATTTACAGAATTAACATTTAAATCCAAAAATTGCATATTTGTATCATTTCTTTCAATAATATTTTGTACATATTTCCTATGAGTTTCGCTTTGAATTCTTTCCTGCATATGAAATAACAAACAAAATTATAAACAAAATAAAAATTAAATTTACAAACAACTTAAATCAGTATACAACTTTTTATACTCACTTTTTTCATACCAACGGACAGACACTTATTTAGGCGACACCTTCGGCACCACTTTCTTGTCGTACGACTAATAACACAATTCTCATTGAATTTACACCGAAAATCCTATTAAACAAATAAGTCATATAACTATTCATAAGTTATTTGTAGAAATATATCTCAAATTACTTGATGTCTGTATGCATTTCGACGGAAGAATGGTTTGCATGACTTGCAGGTCAGGGCTCCAAAGTGTTTGCCTTAATATTTGTGATTTTATTATAATTTATAATAAAGTTATTATTTATTTAAAACTTTATTTACTTACCAACAGCTATATCGCCACAAACGGCACAAAATTGTATTTCATTCCTGTTATCCATTATTTTATTAAATATGTTTAACAATTTAATACATTTACTAGATGTTATTAATTTTAAGTGTTTTCAAAATGTGACTTTATAATTGCCAAAGGATTTCAATATACTAACGTTGTATAAAATACACAAACAAAATCATCAATTTTAATACTGTAAATTATATCGCTGTCACACTGTCATAGTAATTGATATCCTGATTAAAACCAATTACTTTTTCAATAGATCTGTTTTATATCAAAATAAAATATGTATAATACTAATCTAAAGCACGCATAGTGTCCAACTGCACTATTTATTACACTATAAAATTAGATTATAAAAAATATAATTATAAAATCAACAATTTCCTTGACATTTTAAATTTAAATTATAAAAATGGAGAATAAATAGTACATTAATAAATTAACTATGAATTAATCTAAATTATACCATGAATGATCAACAAGAATATTTTCAGTGAGAATTTTATTTTCAGGTACAATTATTTATAATACTAGTACATAATACCACTAAACATATTTATATACTACATTAAGCATATAAATAATATCGTAAATCAATTAACAATAATAAACTCAATTATGGGATTTCAAGTCAAATATCTCAGTGACAAGTGGTCCGAAATTGTCGGCATTTTCTCGGATATTATTCTTCATCTGAATTTCACCCAATTTATAGATGTCTTGCAAAGTGTTCACAATTTTTAAGAATTTTAATTTAGCTGTACATTGAACCTGATGTTTGTATAGTAAATAACGCTGAAGTAAATACAAATAGATATTCTGCTGAAGTCTATCAATCAATTAAATTTTATTACAATTCTAGTAAAACATAACAATGTATAATTTATATACTGTTAATATTACTTACTTTATGACATCTCGTTTAATTAGATTTTGTCGACCAGGGTTAAATAGTACGATAGCTGTTAACTATTTTTGAAATCAAATAAATGTGATTTTAGCCTTAAATTTAATACATAAATAAATGTCTATGAAATACCAGATCTAATATAATAGGATCCGAATCCCATTCAAAATAGATTTTATTTAAATAATTTTTGAACCCATAAT